TCTGTCTGTCTGTCTGTCTTTCTCTCTGTCTCTCTCACTCTCACTCCCTCTTTCAGTCTCTCTCTCTCTCTCTCTCTATCTATCGCACGCGGGCTCTCTCTCTCTCGCTCTCTCTCTATCTTTCTCTCTCTTTCTCTCTCTCTGTCTCTCTCTCTCTCTCTCTCTCTCTCTCTGTTCCTCTCTCTCTCCCTCTCTGTCTCTCTCTCTCTCTGTCTCTCTCTGTCTCTCTCTCTCTCTCTTTCTCTCTCTCTCTCTCTCTCTCTCTCTCTCTCTCTCTCTCTCTCTCTCTCTCTCTCTCTCTCTCTCTCTCTCTCTCTCTCTCTCTCTCTCTCTCTCTCTCTCTCTCGTCTTTGACTTTGTTTAGTTTGCTGTACAAGTGCATGTACTGCATGTAACACCGTTGACTGCTGTGTGAAATCTCTTCAAGAATTGCTCTCTGTTCTCTGCGTATTTTTATTGTAGGCATGTATACCTTTCGTATCTGGACAGTGTCCATTTCTTCCGGCCAAAGCAGTTGCGTCTCAAGTGTATTATGTGCTGCTTATCGCCTATAAGGACTATGTAGCAAAGCGAGGCTTTGTCGCTGTTAACCTTTGGGCATGCCCTCCTGGGAAAAACGAAGACTATATTCTCAACTGTCATCCACCTGGGCAAAGGATACTCACACAACAGCTTCTAATACCGTGGTACAAGACAATGCTGGACAGTGCAGTTGCTCGAAAAATTGTTATCAAGTTTCGCGTAAGTGCTCTAAATCAACTGATTTTCGCTGGCAATTTTATTTCGCTGATTCCGCCGCTTCTGCTCCGAATGCGCTACCGAGGCACCGCCTAACGTCTTATCGCACAAGCTTCTATGATGCGTAGACAGTTTACAGTGGAAGCACGGTCTCGCCTGTTTGCAGTCACGTGCGATATGATCCGATCTGAAACATATGGAGCAGCGATCATTGAGTTTCGAGTGAGCTTTGCGTACATCTAAATCTCAGTACTGGCCGCATTCATCGCTAAAGTGTGCCCCTGAACAGTAGAAACATTTGTCATGATGTTGCAAGAGGGATACACCAGTTGAATTGACATGGGATGGCGCAGGATGCTGTTGATGTCCTTTATTCGCGTCGTGACATTGGCGTTCACTAGTTTCCTTGACACGTACCAAGATGCCAAGGGCCTTGCGTAAGGATACGACAGTCCAGCTGTCGCTGCCCCGTGCAAGCTCGAGCTGCACCATGACAGCCTGTGGGAGCTTTGCTGTGATCATAGGAATAAATAACGGGTGTTCTACGTCTTGTTTGAGTGCTTCAAGACTGCGGAGGTTCCGTTCGATTTCGTCAAGTAGTTTCCGCAACAAAGCAGGTGTGTGTGTGTTTCTGTGTACATGTGCCACCGTACAAAAGGGATTTCCACTAGAGGTCCTGCCACATCACCGATCTCCACTCCAACCACTTGCCTTGCACCTGTAGAGTCTTCAGCCTCAAAATCTGAGTGACTGAGAGTGAGTGAGTGAGTGAGAGTGAGTGAGTGAGTGTGAGAGAGAGAGAGAGAGAATGAGAGTGAGTGAGTGAGTTGGAGAGAGAGAGAGAGAGTGAGAGTGAGTGTGAGAGAGAGAGAAATACAGAGAGATACGGAGAGATAGTGAGAGATAGAGAGATAGATAGAGAGATAGATAGAGATAGAGAGAGAGAGAGAGAGAGAGAGAGAGAGAGAGTGAGTGAGAGTGAGAGTGAGAGTGAGAGTGAGTGTGAGCGAGAGAGAAATACAGAGAGATACAGAGAGATAGAGGGAGATAGAGAGATAGAGAGAGAGATGGATAGAAAGATAGATAAAGATAGATAAAGAGAGAGAGAGAGAGAGAGAGACCAAGAGAGTGAGAGTGAGTGAGTGAGAGAGTGAGTGAGTGAGAATGAGTGAGAGATAGTGAGTGAGATAGAGAGTGAGAGAGAGAGATTGAGTGAGAGAGAGGGTGAGAGAGAGAGAGCGGAGAGGGAGGACGCCTGGGTTGGTTATTGGGTTATCTGGCATTGTCGAAATCTGGGCATTGATACTGGTCCTATTGTTCACCTGGAGAAAACCTAAATATTTGTTCATGACTTTTTCTTTTGTTGTTTGTAGCACTCACTGCTGCGCAATGCTCTGGCTACATACTTTGAGGAGAGAATCAACGCTTACCTTACAACTGATGACACTAATCGTGAAGCTGGCCACGTTCACATCCGTGTGCTTTCCAGCAGCAAGCAGACAGTGAAGGTCAAGGATGCCACCAAAGAAAAGTATGACTTATATCTGTTGCTGGTGACAGTGGTGGTGCTGTTGCTGTTGTTGTTTTTTTTTCAATTTATTCCACGCATATTTAGGCATAATTTTATTGTCGTAAGAGCCCTCTCCGAATCAATCTAGGGTGTGGCTTTTGTTTATTCAGTTTGCTGTATATGACATTCTACCTATTAAGGTTCTGTGCCGTCATAAGGTGTTGATGAGCAAATAGTGCAGCAAAGAATGTGCCAACCATAGTATACCTACAGTCAACTTGGCTAATAACGACTGCTGCGGATATAACGACAATTCGCCAATAACCACATAATTTCCATGCCCAGAGCAAAGTCCCATCCCACTGTAATACATATAATGAGACTTCGGGTATAACGACACTTTTCGAATAAGGACACTTTTTTTGATGCCCCGCCGAGTGTCGTTATAAGCGAAGTGGACTGTACTGTAATCTCAAGCAAGAATAAAAGATCTAAGGGTAGTTCAAGAAAACAGGCAGGAATGTCTGGTATGTTTTTCGGTGTTTTCCTTGTGGCTAGTAGGAATATACTGGGTACCTGTCTATCGGTGTGTACTAGTATTGCTTATTCACATGGACCTCTGTTAGTGCGGAGAGTTTTCACAAATCATCATACATCTGTCATACAAACCAGCCTTTTTCATTATACTCAACTCTGTGTGTGTGTGTGTTTCTCTGTACATGTGCGTATATGTGTATGTTTCTTCCATTAATGCCAGGTTTGAGGAGCTAAGTGCTACATCTTTCCCGGAGGAGTTTCCTTATGTAGCAGAGTCTGTCTTTGCTTTTGTGGAAATTGATGGCAAGGACGTGTGCTTCTTTGGCATGATCGTGCATGAGTTTGATTCTGACTGTCCCGAGCCTAATAGGCGGTAAGATCTATATCCATCTTGTGCTCCTGCTCTTTTTCTCTCTCTCTTTCTCCTTCTCTCTCTTTCTCCTTTTCTCTTTCTCCTTCTCTCTGTCTCTCTCACTCTCACTATCACTCTCTCTCTCTCTCTCTCTCTCTATCGCACGCGGGCTCTCTCTGTCGCTCTCTCTCCCTATGTCTGTCTGACTGTCTGTCTCCCTGTCTCTCTGTCTCTCTCACTCTCACTCTTACTCTCACTCTCTCTCTTTCTCTATCACTCTCTCTTTCTCTCTATATCTCTCTCTATCGCACGAGGGGCTCTCTCTCTGTCTGTCTGTCTGTCTATCTTTCTCTCTGTCTCTCTCACTCTCACTCTCTCACTCTCTCTTTCTGTCTCTCTCTATCTATCTATCGCACGCGGGCTCTCTCTCGCTCTATCTCTCTCTCTTTCTCTCTCTCTCTCTCTCTCTCTCTTTCTCTTTCTCTCTCTCTTTCTCTCTCTCTCTCTGTCTCCCTGTCTTCCCCACTGTCACTCTCTCTCTCTCCCTCTCCCTCTCCCTCTACCTCTCTCTTTTTCTCTCTTTCTCTCTGTCTCTCTCTCTGTCTCTCTCTCTCTCTCTCTGTTCCTCTCTCTCTCCCTCTCTGTCTCTCTCTCTCTGTCTCTCTCTGTCTCTCTCTCTCTCTTTCTCTCTCTCTCTCTCTCTCTCTCTCTCTCTCTCTCTCTCTCTCTCTCTCTCTCTCTCTCTCTCTCTCTCTCTTTCTCTCTCTCGTCTTTGACTTTGTTTAGTTTGCTGTACAAGTGCATGTACTACATGTAACACCGTTGACCGCTGTGTGAAATCTCTTAAAGGCTTGCTCTCTGTTCTCTGCGTATTTTTATTGCAGGCGTGTATACCTTTCGTATCTGGACAGTGTCCACTTCTTCCGGCCAAAGCAGTTGCGTACTCAAGTGTATTTTGAGCTGCTTATCGCCTATAAGGACTATGTAGCAAAGCGAGGCTTTGTCGCTGTTAAACTTTGGGCATGCCCTCCTGGGAAAAACGAAGACTATTTTTCAACTGTCATCCACCTGGGCAAAGGATACTCACACAACAGCTTCTAATACCGTGCGAAAATTCATCAAAAATGCGTATAATTTGTACTCGTTTTACTGGCTTCTATTGACCAAATATGGAATTTTATGTTGGGAATTGTTCTCACTGAAACCTATGCATTCCGCAGAAAAAATTGTGAGTGAATAGGATTACTTTTGGAAAATCACGAAAATCACTGGTTTTGGCTCCGCGGGTCAGTTACACACCCTGGCCGTGCTGAAAGGGTTAAACGATCTTTTCTAAATCGGCCAAAGTTTCTCACCGGCCAAAATTTGTTGATTTACAGAGTAGCAAGAGTAGTTACCTGCCACCGATACCTCATCCAAAGGGTATCAAACAACATGGGAGTACATACAGATTATCCCAGTGTAACGAAAGGGTATCCAACGCACACATGTATAAATGTACACTACATAGTACCTTCCGTTACAATTTGAATCAACTTCATGACAATTTGAATCAACTTAATGACATCTTTCTAATGCTTCTGATCTGTGAAATAATGTGAAAGAGCATGCAGACATTTGTATGGATTAGTAGTAATTTCGCACGGTACATTTCAAACAAGGATATTGTACTATACTGTTCAAACTAGCTACACGCCGTACTGCTCTAGCTTATAGGTTGTACTCCGATAAATCGACTGTTAGCGTAGCAGTTAACCATTAAGGTGAAAACCGTAGCCGTTTGATCCCTATTGTTATACTGGCAATCTAATGTTGTTTATCCTTTCTCACTTTTTTGATCTTTCAGGATATTCACCAGTCTACACTTCAAGATCAAGTCAGCGTACCGACCAGGTATGCCATACTTTGAGGGTGATTACTGGTCTAAAGTGTTTGAGAAGATCGCCCAGGAGGAAAAAGCGGAGAAGATCGCAGCTGAGGCCGAGGTATGCATTATCTTCTGTGTAGAGCAGGACTGATGGTTTACATCTCTCTTTCTCGAATTCAACTCCATCTCAAACATTTTACCACTGGTTGGATGGCATTTGGGCACCGGCCGCTGTTCGTCTTATGGTTGTTGGCAATTTGTCTTTTTTCAATGCCGCTGAGATGATGGAGTGCATGGGATGAAGGTGACAAATTCGGCAATAATTATAAGAAAGTTCGTTGCTCTCAATGTTCGAACTTGAACCTTTCCCACTTTTCCGTTCAGCGGATTCATTATGTTATTAGGGAAAAGTGAGAAAGGTGCAAGCTCGAACATTGAGTGCAACGAACTTTCATATAAGTATCGCCGAATTTGTTACTAAAAAATCTGTTTCTTATGTTATGCAAAAGAAAGAGGTGATGACAGCCTTTCCTCAAATTGCAATGCTCTGCACTCCAACGCCTTTGTATTATTACTCAACGGTCTTTCATCTTGATCAGATCCTAAAGGTTCGGACTAGATTAGGAGGAGGCTACCTGAGGGTCAATACTTCCATTAAGGATACAGTAGTGATTTTAAAATACTGGCCATTGAAATATTACCTTGTAAATAACATAACAAGGGGTGCTACGCTGTTCTGGAACTGGGAAGATACCTTAGGTGTTCTCAGTGTGGGAACAAGACAAACCATACACTAGCTTAAAGCTTGGCGTATGCCAATCCTCCGCCAAGTAGTGAGAGCTCTATTTCATTAGCCAATGCCTTCCTGAAGCCGTAGAACCGTGACTTGTCAACGACTAGTAGTAATATATTTTTTCTTATCATCGGATGCCTCAACAGTGATATACACAACCCTTAAGAGGGCTGATAACGGGATAAGTGAAAAGGAAAAGAAAAGAAAACTAGACAATATTTGATTGAGAATGCAGTGATCCATGTGGATGGTTTTTGTTATTGGCTAGGTGTGTGAGGGGTATGATGACCGTGATCTGTTGTTGTGTGCCTGTATTGCTATGATGACCGTGGTCTGTTGTTGTGTGCCTGTATTGCTATGATGTCAAGCAGAAGAATTGCAAGAAGGGATGCTCACAGCCGCAGTAAGGCCGAAAGAAGAAGAGCAAGCCAGCACCGGCACGGAAGAGAAAAGAGTTCACTACGCGTGTCCTGACCCGGCTGGAGAAGGATAAAAATGTAGGTTCATGGTTTCATTCTTTCTTTGCGTTGCGTATACCCGTGTCTCGTGGAGTGCGACGACTGGTTTGATTGCAAATGCATGTTTTAAATTTGTATCTATTTTGTATTTTGTATTTATATCATTATCTCATGGCACATCATGATGACGGCCAATAAAATTGAGACAAGGGTGAAAGCCAACCACAGCAGTAAAACAGATAAAAGAATACAAATAAGAGGCAAAGAAGGCAAAGGAGGAGACAAACCAGCAGGATATACATGAAACCTATAATTGAGCAGAGATTTTAGCAACAAAATTATCGATCGACGTGCTGGTCTTGGCCTGCGTTGGTAATGTTGCCCAAAACACATCTAACTTGATTGTTTCTTCGGAGTTGAATATCATGTGCAAGAAATCAGTTTTAGTGCAGCCCTTCACAATCAAAATCAAGATGACAAATTATGATATTCTTTTCAAAAGCCTTATTTAGCCATTTTGCCTGCAATGGCCCACATGGGAAATTTTGTAATCAATAATTTGGTCGAAATACGCAATTGTGGGAGAATCATGCACCATTGGGAAGGGAAAGCCATGCATGAGACATGCTTTAGAATAGGGCTGAAATGAGTATCTCGACTATTCAAATATTCGTCAATTTAGCTTTGCAGAATGAACATTTGTGAGGTTACGAATATTAGAACTGAAATTTTTTCCTCAATATGCTCAACAATTTTTTTTACTACAATCAGCAAAATGCGAGAACAACAGTTCCGATATGCTACTCCTGTTGGTACAGGGAGTGTGTGAGTATAAGCGCAGTTCGATGGCCACACACAGTGTTTATACCAGTTATGGTGGGAAAGATGCGGAGAGCAATCCTGGTGTCAATGGTCTCCCAGAGACAAATATTTGGACCATCGACTTCCTACTTACCCGAGTGAGGGGCAGCATAGCGCGGCATGCGTGCAACATTACGGAGCCATCCTACAGCGTTTCTGGGGCAATGTTGCTCTCAACGAAGAGCAAAGCAAGGTCCCTGAAGGTTGTGATGTCAATGGCGTTGGTTTCTTCCCTGGCGGGGTATTCATGTCCTTGTCAGAACTCTCACGATTTGCATGAGTTATCAATGAGAGAGCTTGGAAGCTCAGGGCCCTACGCTATGCTTATTGGCCTTGATGACTTAGACAAAAAAAGCACAGGGATGATATAAATTCTTATAAATTTCTACTTTTTGTTTTTAGACATAACCTGGGATTCGAACCCGCACTATCGCCCTGCATGCATCCCCCGATACACTTCGCATACATGCTAATTCTTATATACAGAAGCCTTGCTTGGTAGTTTAACATGTTTTTCGATTTTGACAGCATGTTACAAGGCGAGGACGCGTAGTGCTCCTGACTACAACCATAACCCGGTTGGCAGAGTCCCAATACGGTTCAGATGGTCGCAAGACCGGGACTCTGCCAACCGGGTTATGGTTGTAGTCAGGAGCACTACGCGTCCTCGCCTTGTAACATGCTGTCAAAATCGAAATACTAATTCTTCCAAGTTGCTTCACGGTATGATCTTGTATTTGAAAGCCCTATTTGAATATGCATTGTGGCCAGCCGTCTTTGATTGTACGGTACCGGACAGGTACGGGACAGGTACGGGACAGGTACGGTCGAGGGTAATACGACACCATCTACCGCCTTGATGACGGCAAAAAAATAATAGGGATGTTATAAAGTTTTCAATTCTCCTATTTTTTTCATGCATTACCTGGGATTCGAACCCGCACTATCGCTCTCCATGCATTCCTCCATACATTTCGCATTCATATTCATTCTTCCAAGTTGCTTCACGTTATGATCTTGCGTTTGAAAGCCCTATTTGAATAGTGCGGCCAGCTGCATGTGGCCAACTGTGTTTGATGGTACGGTACGGTACGGGACAGATACGGGATAGCGCCAGGCGTGACACAAACACACAAACACCAAACGAGAGAACTTGGAAGCTCAGGGCCCTACGCTATGCTTTTATGCTTTTTTGCCTAGCTCATCGTACATGTTCTAAGAACTGATGGAAATATCTTTTTCCGTTGATTGGCCACATCACTGTATTGCAAAAACGTTTCAATCGGTTCGAATATTATGAGTTAGGCAAAAGTATTTGCAGAATTTATTGCGGATTGTTATTTCTCTAATAATCATCTACTTTTGGTTTGCTCCTTCTTTTCTTTTGATCTCCTTATACTGTAAATCAACAAATTTTGGCCGATGAGAAATAGAAACCTCTCTATTAGAGAGGTTAAGATGCACGTTATTTCCGACGTGACGCGCAATTTCACGTCAAATTTGAAATCGATCGGTATTTTTGCTCTCACATGCATCCATTGCTCAATCATGCATCATTTGCCTATATGACAAACTTTGGCCTGCGATTTACTTTGGCCGGTTGGTACCATGTACCAAGTGGCGAAATCAGAGAAATTAAATCGCCAGGGAAAATTAGTTGATTTTAATACAGTAATCGGATTTTCTGGCCTTTTTGTAGTAATACATGTACATTGACCTGTTGAGCAAATGACGACGCCGAATGCATGGTTGCCTGTGGAGCACATTACATAACTTTACAGTCTCCTAAAATACGTATCCTGTCCGACGGCAAAAGAGGCTGCAGATTTAGTTTTTCTGCTCGTCGACGGGATGTCTGCGACGCGAAAGTTCAGCTCGCGTTATTTGGCTCGCACGTCGAAAAATCAACGCGAGTGACCTGCTGCTCACGTCGAAATTTGGACATTACATAACTTTACGGTCTCCTAAAATACGTATCCTGTCCGACGGCAAAAGAGACTGCAGATTTAGTTTTTCTGCGCGTCGACGGGATGTCTGTCCTGACGTTTACTGGGACCGGCTTCGACTCTGCCGATCACGGGCGTTCTGGACTCAACGGGATGTCTGTCCTGACGTTGCCTGGGACCGGCGGACTCTGCCGATCACGGGCGTTCTGGAGTCGACGGGATCTCTCTTCCGACGTTTCCTGTGACCGGCGCTGAATCGCTCGTTCACGCTTATTTTGGAGACGACGGGATCTCTCTTCCGAAGTATGTTTATGCTGACGCATCCTATCACCTATTCGGCGTCTTTTCTAATTTAATTTCCTCCTCGTCTCCCTATTTCTTTCCAAATCTCCCTCTACATCAGGGAGTCGTATACATGTACATAATACGACGAATATTGGTACGGTACGGGACAGATACAGGAGCCTGCAAATATTGTGGACAGCTGTTATGTACAATCCTGTAGAGCCTTTGTAGTCACAGATACGGGACAGATACGGGACAGATACGGGATAGCTCCAGCCGTGACACAAACAAACAAACAAACAAACAAACACCAAATTAAAGCTGTGTGGACCCTGGCTAGCGCCAGACGTTACTGAAGTAACGTCTTCTGCATAGCTACGGGAATTAAAGCTGTGTGGACCCTGGCTAGCTCCAGACGTAACTAAAGTAACGTCTTCTGCATAGCTATAGGAATGAAGAACATTTGTTCGTTCGTTCGTTCGTTAGAGTCAAGAAGGTTCGATTGCTGAGAAATTGTGTTCGTTTCAGCCCCCCAGTTGAGGTTGTAGCAATACTCTCTCTACTTACAGTGCAAGCCTGGCATTGGGTGAAGCAAGTTTGCGACGTACACACTGTAAGCCTATCAGCACATACAGCTTCATCTGTTGAACACAGGTGATTGCAAATTACGACACGCTCTCGGTTAAAAAGTCCTTTGAATATGCGAGGTGGATATCGAAAACGTATGCCCTTGTATCTGAATATTAAAATTAGTTTCCGCACGTAACATTCGATGTTTGAAAGTGACTTATTTGTACAATATTGGTGTGTCATAATGGTACTAAAGTTGGTTGCTCCAACGAGAAGCACACGCTTCTTGCCGAATTTGACACTTGACTGACTCACGATTGCCATCCGGAGCACACGAGGAGCACGTAGCACCTTCCGCTCGCCACTGCCTGCTCAATACACAGTGTACCAAGTTCGGCGAGACGTTTGTGCTCCTCGTTGGAGCAACCAACTTCATGACGAATACCGCCTACGCTGATTTGTTGTATTCGTTGCTGCCAATATTTCCTTACATTAGCTTTATTCTTGTTCCCTTTGGCCAGGCGTTCTTCACCATCACGCTGATTTCTTCGGAAAAGGTTGCGGACCTTGAGCCCAAGGAGGAGGATGTGGACGAGCTGCAAAGCGGCAATATGATGGAGAGTCGGGATTCATTTCTTGCCTACTGTCGTAAGAATCATCTTGAGTTTTCAACTTTGCGGCACGCGCAGTACGCTACACTGTGCATGCTCATCGAGCTGCAAAGCCAGTGCAATGAAATTGTAATCGGCTACCGCTGCAATACCTGCATGGCTGAAATTATTGGAAGTCGTTTCCATTGCCCAGTGTGGAAGGTGAGTTTGCATATTCCTATTGGCCACTGTGTGTTTCCAGATTTTTGTTCGTATTTCTTGCCTCAAGTTCTCTTAGTTCTTTTAGAGTAGACTGTAAATAGAGGCAAACGATAGAATTTTTGTGTCACGTGACTGTCGTCTATACAACATGCAACACTTGCAGATTGCTGGTTCTTTACTTGCCAGTAGCGTCCAGATCTCCCTCTATTCTATATCTGATTGTTGTTTTGTACGTGTTTGTTTCTTGCGTCCCTGGTCCTGCGCTACGCGACAGGCGCCCAGCATGTGACGCATAGTACAGGCCCAGGCACGGCACAAACTACAGTACGGATCCACTACCGTGTTCCCCAAACGGCGTAGGTAGCAGGTCGAGGGTTGACGCAAGAAGAAATTTCAAATCCTTTCCAGTACCACCGTACAAAAGGGATTTCCACTAGAGGGCCTGCCACATCACCGATGTCCACTCCAACCACTTGCCTTGCACCTGGAGAGTCTTCAGCCTCAAAATCTGAGTGACTGAGAGTGAGTGAGTGAGTGAGTGAGAAAGAGTAAGTGAGTGAGAGATTGAGAGAGAGAGACAGAGAGAGAGACAGAGACAGAGAGAGAGAGAGAGAGAGAGAGAGAGAGAGAGAGAGAGAGAGAGAGAGAGAGAGAGAGAGAGAGAGAGAGAGAGAGAGAGAGAGAGTGAGAGAGAGTGAGAGAGAGTGAGAGAGAGTGAGAGTGAGTGAGTGAGAGAAAGAGAGTGAGAGTGAGTGAGAGAGAGAAATACAGAGAGATACAGAGAGATACAGAGAAAGA